CAAATAACGTTTTTTAAAAATATTTTTTTATAGTTTCCTATAGGGTAACTCGTCAAAGTAGAGCCCTTTGGGCGAAAATTTCGTCCGTTTGGCTCTATCTTTAACCATTTAGACGCCACAGGGAGTTTTTGACGAAAACAAGCGAAAAAATGTACAACCCTGCAGGCTTAGTCGAAGTGACGGGAAACTGACGGGCCGGAGGACTGTCTCTTTGTGTACATTTTTGCACTACCCGACTCGGGTGTCAGCGCCGCAGGCCTAGGTAGATGTATGCCAGGCGCGTCGCAGCGCAACAGTGTTTCGTGAGATATCGCGAAGCCTGTTACGCGAGACGTGGTCTGGCGTACATCTACCTAGTTTAGAGTACGGACACATACCTGTTACGGGTATTTGAATCGTCAATGATCGTAGTTACTGGCTCGTCTGGTTGACCATCGGTCAGGACCAACAGTATAGGTTCCAGTCCAGGAGGGCCATCAGCAGCACATGCCAAAGCTTGCTGCATACCACCAAGCAGGGCCGTACCTGTACATTGTTGAAGTTAAAGCTTTTACTGTTTTAATTAATAAAAGAGTTGCCACAGTAAAATACTTTTCCTGCCACTATTTTTATAATTTCCTTACATTTCCCTCATAATATTCTGCAAAATATACGCTGCATGCAGTAGGCTGATCTGTTTTTTGACTACACGGTACAATTTATGTTGGATTTTTTTGAGGAAAGGGGGAAAACTTTGAGGAACTCCCATACTTGGCGGAAAGCTCTTTGGATTTTGGGAGTCTCCTCAATTTTTTTTTTAAATGGAAATATCTTTTACTTTTGATAAAACGTTATCAACATCTATGGAGTGTTTACTTCCAAAAAATGAAGTAGTTTTGCAAAGTTTTCTATTTTATCTCAATTAATCAGACATAATTACTACCGGGTACGAAATGTCTCAACTCAGGGGTCCATTGCCAAATGATCCGTGAAGCGAAAAGAAGCAGGCGCCTGCCCTTACGCCAAGCGTACTTGACAGCTTCACTTTGCTCCGCCAGCAACTCGCCATTCGGCCTGCTGTTGGCATTTGTCGAGCCTGCTGCCCGACCGAGTCACAATTTATAATAGTATAAACTTAGGCGTAAAGGGAAACCTGCGGCTCTATCAAATTCGCCCCTTAGGCATCAAGGGAGAATGTAAGGGTGTCGAGGGGTCGGCTACTCGAGCTTTTGGTGTACACAGGCGTACACGAGAATCGGAATACCTAGACCACAGGTGGAGTACCTGGAGAAAAGCCATTTAACACGGAGCACAGCCGGGGTACAGCCGGGTTGCAGTGCAGTTGGAGTACAAACGGGTTACCACTAGAGTACACAATGAGAAAATTGCGCCAGTTCGAAGTGCCCAGGCTGACCTTTTTTCAGTGTGTAAAGCTGGCCTTTGTGCTAGACGCTAAAGCAAAGCTGAAGTACAGCTAAATTGCTGATCGTGCGAAATTATTGTCACATTTTACTCACAGGTTAAAATGTTGAATTTTAAGGCATAAACTTTCAATTAAAAATAGTAACATTAAATCGTCATTCTATTACATTTTCTTGCTGCTTCTTTCCGAAGAGATCCGATTGTATACATTACGGGGAGAACTTAATAACGTACCTCCGTTTGCAGACATCGCCGCAGCTTTTTGTTGAGCCTCCTTGATATACTGGGCGGAGTACACTTTACAAGTTGATCCAACTGAAGGTACGCCGAGGTCCCACATCTTTATCCGATGAAAAGCGCAATGAGAACAACAAAACCAGTGTCACTCCGTTCAGTTCGAGCAGATCTTAAGAAATTGACTAAAATATGGGAAGCAGACCAAAGCTAGGTCCTCTGACTATGCGGTTTCTGTATCTTCACTGAATGTGGCGAATATACTTCAACATGTTAGTCGATGTTAGTGGAATACTTAGAGTAAGACTTACATTATTCGCATTAGAAAATTCGATGACCGTAAATTGATCTTCCGGGCCAAGTTCACCGAGGATGGTTTGCATTGCATCTCGGAGCTGCTCTATCTTTCGTCCTTGCATTGAACCGCTGACGTCCAACAGGAATAGGGCGTACTTTGGCAATGAAGTGAGATTGGTTGGTGCAAAGAAATGCGCAAAGTAGCCATCTCGTACCTGTGAAATAGGCACCGTGTGTTAATAATTCGGTCCAAGGGATTTTAGAAACGGTCAAAACACGTCTTATTTTTCGGCAAGTTTTAGAAAATCGTGGGCAGCTATATTCGTAGTCTGATTTGAAGATGAAAGAAGATTTACAATACCCAGTGAATGAAACAACATAAATCCAACCTACCACAATGTCTCCGGCAGTAGGGTACCGGTCCACTTCATACTCGACGTTAAACTGGCCGGCAAAGCCTGCTTCGGCGCCGAGCCCAAGCTGCTTAGCCAGGAGTTCTTGTTCGGCTTCGGAAGGCTGAAAAGTCAGCTCGACGTCTCTGGTATTCTGCACTTTCTTCACATTGAGATTGCTAAGTGTAGTCACAGTGCCGGTAGCTATTTTATAACATTGGATACGAAGACATGTGTGAAACGCACGTGTAGGATTGGCACACACCCACACAAACACAGCTGACTTAAAGAAGACCTAGGACTGAATTTTCTATCTGAGAGACCTCAATAGAGGAAAAAAAAAAACTTTGGGGGGGATCTTGAAGTACATGATTAGCACAAACAAGTGAAAATGACCAACTCTGTAACTCAAACCGGTTCCGAGTTAGTTACGGTGGATTTAAACATTTTTCAGACACTCACCCAAAAGGTTCCATGCCCTCCAAATTTGGTGACGTGGAGGTGGGTTAGTGATATTTGTGATCAGATAGGTCTAAAGTACAACTTGTACTGAATCCTTTTTTGACTTCAACATTTTTCTTTGTTTTTTTTTTATATTGGTCTATTTATTTTTCTTATTTCTACCAGCAACTTAGTTGAGATATTAGAAAAACTGTTGTTATCTCGGTCGTTATATAAATGTTGTTCCTCTTGCTTTTAAGGAGGGGTCCTAGTGTACCGGGACAAAAAAAGGCCTCATTTTCTTTTATATTTTGTAGGAAAACCATTCCTTCTGGGGCAACACAGAATGCGAAACTTATAAGATACTACTCACACCTACAAAACCCCCTTGGCTCGGCTCGTAGATGCAACGAGCTGACGTCAACACTGCGGTAGCTGACGGCCGGGCACGATTGCGGCCAAAAAATAGTTTCATAATGTGTCTCATACACATAGCTATTGTCCTAACCAGGGGCTCTGATATCAGTAGTGCCCTTCACTGATAGAAATGTAACAAAACTATGCGTTTGTTCGCGGTTTTCGGTATGTGAAGTTCAGACGTGGGAAAAAATATGTTTTATTTTCTCTATCCGTGGTAAAGACGATAGCAAGTCCAGTCTGAATCATGCCTACCATCAATCTACGCGTGGGGAGCCAACTCCATCTCCAGAACCTGGCGGGATATTGGCAACAACACCCTTCGTCTATTTTGTACATAAAAGAGGTATCCTGTACCTGGTGTAATTGATTTTCAACCCGGAGCATTATTGAGATTATTGTTTTATAAAATCACGAAAACAGATCCATTTTAGGCCTGTTACACTAGGATCCCCCGCTAAGCTGAGAAAACGTCTGTTTTAGTTGGTAGGTGATCATATTGTACTCTAAATGAGTCTTCATTAATACCAGAATGATTAGAATCAGTACCTTTTTACTTTTACAGCCTTGTCTAAATTTTATATTAGAAAATCAACTTTTGGTCATTTTCCCAGATTTCTGCAATATTTCAGTCCTGAGTCCCCTTAACAGAAGCGCACGTTTGCCTTGATAACAAACATCCATTACCTGATTCAGTAGTGACGGTGTGGTTGACAGGCGCCAAAATAGATGAAGCTTCATTAATCCGAACGCTGACTTTCAGGTCCGAGACAACCTTACAACAGATGTGCAATACAAGTTTGCGTTATTTGATTTTGATTAACACTGCACCCCAAATAGATCTTTTTGACATTGGTTGTGATTGGGAACGGTTAAGAGGCTTCCCGATTATTTTAATGCTTCTACTTGTGTAGCGCAACAACGGTTGTGTTGTTTCTTTGCGCTTCGAAATAAAAAATAATTGATATTCAAGTGAAAATTGATAGTGCTCCAGGTGATGAAAGGAATTAGCCAGTCTCACCCTTCCGTAGTGGAAGATTAATGTGTGAGGTGCTTTTTTATGGGCAGATTTCTTCATTCAAAGATGCATTTTAATGCACACCGGAGCGAAAAGCTGTTTTGCAAGTTGCACATTAATGACTTTGCGTGTGCGCCTCATTCCCATCCTCAGCACTCAGAGCCAGGGAAATGCCACCTGAGCGATGATACTGCCCCACCTCATGCACGTGCTTATGTTCCCCATAAATCATAACCAGTTATATGTACCTTTCCTGGCCAAACTTGTTGTACGTTCTTGTAGCGACCAAGGTGTCTAATGAGAAGCTCCTCGTACTCCAAGCGAAGCAGCACTGTTCCACCGGACGCCAGCTCCAGGTCAACGTCAAATGCCTCGGCATCACGAGCACTGTTCCGAAACATAACATTGAACTATGTGAGTACTTTCTGTCGCACGTTTTAACCCTATAAACTTTTTTTATTAATTAATTACTGACTTCGGTGGACGTTTTAAGCTTACGCAATTTACGTCAGTATAAGGATATTTGTTTACACTTTAGCACTGGCCTAATAATATTCATAAGGGTAGCGAACACACAGAGAGACACTTTTTCGTTTTCGCACACATGTCAACCACCTACAAACTTTTTGCCAGCAAGTGTTGGTTTTGCTTATGTCTGCACTGTAAATCAGAGTGTGATACTGACTCCACGTTTCCTGTGACACAGAAATATTCCTCGATGTCGTGATGATCATCGTAGAAAAAGTATAATAATAAATTCATTGATTATATTTGTGATGACCATCACTTATTTGAGCGACACTTCGACGTCATAGTTTTGTGCAACATGCGTCACACCGTTTTTAAGATAAATCCAGAACCATCGCATTATTTTGCAATGAGTATCACATAATTTTGTGATAAAAATTCATCACACCCCCAGGAGTAAAAAATCATGGGCATCACACAGCAAATTTTATCACACGAAAATGTGTAAAAAGTATCAAACTTTGAATTACAGTGTGCTGGGAAAATAACCCCTTTTCCATTAGAAGGGGGTGAAAATTGACGTGTGGCTAGATTCCAAACTGCACGTAGTAAACACGTGCGCTAGAATGCATCTTTTTATCCCACGTGGAACATAACCTAGGCGCACGGAAGCGTCCACCGTACTGTTTCGTAAAATACCGCAAACCCTGTTTCACGAGCGTGGTACAGCGTACAGACTGGTGTAATGTCTAATTACTGACTCACGTAATAGTTGCACTGGATGATGTAGAATCAATCTGCAGGGAGTCCTTAAGAATTGGTCTCGCTTGGTGAACCTTGCCATCACTTATGCTAAAGGAAATGAAAAAGAGAAACAACTCGTTATTAGTTTTTGTATGTAGTACACTGCAGTAGTGATTCTTTTCACAGGGTATGGCGCAGTTGCCTTTTCGTTCCAGTTTGCGTTTTTCTTACGTCCGACCCGGACTCTAGGGCACTGCAAACCCAACAGTCAAGCATGCACCTTAAGGTGTGCCCTATTAGTTTAGTCCGTATACATACGTAGTTGTTTGCTGGCCACAATATTACTTAGTAAGTATGGTTAACAATTGAGAGAGCTACTTACATTTCAAAATTGACGAGCATGGCATTACTAGGGATGGCGAAGGGGACAGTAATTTTCTTATCATCAAGTGCATTGTTCCTGAGCTCGCTTTCAATGACGGTGTGCGCTAAGCGCGTCTGGATCAGGGTGTTGACGTGGTAACGCGTCACCTCCACCTATAAACATAACAATGTGCACTAACTGGAAAAGAGAAGCATACCACTCAATGGCTGACCGATAGCGCGAGCTATTACTCTAGCGATCCGAAAAGTTTAGAGTCTGTTCGTCCGTGTGTCTACCTGCGTGTCTGTCTGCACACTGTAATTCGAAGTGTGATACTTTTCACACAGTTTCGTGTGATAAAACGCCCCGTGTGATTCCCACGATTTATCACTCCTGGGGAAGTGATCAATTTTTATCACAAATTTTGTGTGATGCATATTGCAAAATAATGCGATGATTCCGGATTTCCTACAAAACGGTGTGAATGCACATCGCACAACACTGTGATACATAAAGTATCGCTCAAATGAGTGATGGTCATCACAAATATAAGCAATGAATTTAATGTTGTACATTTCCTGCGATGATCATCACAACATCGTGCAATATTTCTGTATCACGGAAAACGTGTAGTCGGTATCGGTATCACACTCTGATTTACAGTGCAGGCAGGATGACTCGAGAACGCATTAAGATAGGGACCTAAAAATCGCAATAAAAAAAAAGCCAAACCAAAAGCAGTAAAGACAATTAAAATAATCCCCTAACTATTGGCATTTTGTTTCTTGCCAAAATCTTGGCGATGGAGTTGCCAATGAAGTGCAACCCCTAGTATCGTGTCACGGGGGATGGGGGGAAGGTGGCTAAGATTGTGACATTTTCGGTGAAGTGGTTTAGGACCTTAAATACAATAAGGACAAACGGAAATTGGCGTCAATATTTTTGGACAGAGTACTCTGCGTGAAATCTCGAGAGGTAAATGTCATTGGAGAAAGTGGTTTTGGGTTAAACGGATTGGAGGAATCGTGGCAGAGCTGGCCGGGCCGCTCTCTCGTCTTTCGTATTCTTGTTCTTCTACATTCGCCGCAGCGCACCTATGGAGAGGGGCCCCCAGAATACATATCTGGTTGAAAGAGTAGCCTTACTTCATGTGCTGCCCCGTAGCTGGCGTGTAGTACCACGACGCCATGACGCGTGCCATCTCCGCTCAGTCCAATAATGGGTGAATTACCTTAACACGAACACAAAAACATAAGTTTAATTTCGAGGCCGCCTTAAGTGTTTTGTCGGTTTTTCCCGGCCACAACGTGTTCTTATACCGGAAGGTTCTTTCACACATTAAGCTGGTTTTCTACGTTGTACGCCCACAGACCTACAGGGCATCAAAGTTCTTTTGCAGGATTATTGGTTGTTCACTGTAGTTCTAGGTGTGATGCTTATTTTTACACATTTTCGTGCGATAAAATGCCCTTTGTAGTCCCCATGATGAGGGGAAATGATAACATCATCACAAGTTTTGCGTAATACGTATTGCAAAATTCGATGAATTTGGGTTTGTCGCGAAACTGTGTGATACACATTGGTCACGGCTATGATACTATGATATTATGACTATGATAAAGTATTGCACAAATAAGTGGTGGTCATCACAAATACTTTAAGGCATCATAGTTTTGTGCAATGTGCATCACACCGTTTTGCATTAAATCCGGAATCATCGCATTATTTTGCAATAAGTATCACACAAAATTTGTGATAAAATTTCATCACTCCCTCAGGAGTGATTAACTATGGGAGTCACACAGGGCATTTTATCACACTTAATGTGAGAATAGTATCACACTTTGAGTTACAGTAGTAAATTTGCATTACGAAACTATTGTTCGTAAGCAATTTAAAGTGCGGCCGCACTGCTTTCGCCACCGTCATTTCTTCTTCGTTCACAAGTCTGATACTACACCGATATTACTATATATTACATCATTCATACTTCTTATTATTGGCAACAAAACTGCAATATTACAGTTAAATTATGTTAATTTTACAAAATATTGGAATGCTACTTTTATATTAGTTATATCACCAATAATATACCATATTCCTTCGAACACGGCCAATGGGAATTGACGATCATGTCAATCATGTCAGCTTTTAGAATTCCTCAAGGTCAAAGCTTTACACGTTTAAAGGAGAAGATACACTTTACTCACCCTGAGCATAGCAGGCAGCTGCGATGGTCAGCAGTACCAAAGCGGAGTGCAACTTCATTTCGAAGCCGCCTTTACCGCTCAACCAAAGACGTCTTTGGTTTGTCGGTTCAACTATACCTGAAAAGCAAGTGAAAACAAAGTGCGACCAATGTTATGAATTGCTGAAGAATTGTACAATGTAGCAACTTATAGTCATCCAAGGTCATGATTAAGTAGTATACCTACCGACTCCGGTCAAGATGTGCAAAAGTCCAGGAAAGTTTCGACATTTATACTGTGGCTTAGAGGAAACGTGCCACTGTGGTCGCTCTGAGACACTGATAATCCTCAAGAGGCTCCGTCCTGCGATTAATGACACCGGCAGCAAATGCTTACAGATAAAACATTCATTCCTACTCCAAATGCTCCAAGCGTTTTCCTGCAATGTAGATTAAAGTGTGGTGACAACTTGGCGCGCCCTACGAACGAAGTCTTATCTTCGGGTGCATGCGCTAACAATGTCCAATGTATAGCGACCCACAAAAAAGAAACAATAAGTGTTAAATTTTGAAGGTTGATTAGGGCCCACGGCCACAAGTTCAACATTGCTGTCCTATGGGATTTCTGATTAAAAAGTGTTAATCCATCCTTGCTCCTTCAATTTTCACGTAACATCCAAAATGAAACCCAAATCGTAATGCACGTCACAAACTGAATCGAACGATGTAGAGCATGTCTTCCTCCCGCCTTGCATAGCGAAAAAAAGAGAAAGAAAAAACTTCAAAATACCTTTAAGAATCCTTGGTTTGGTCATTTTATTTTCGCTTTTAGGAGAGGAATGCTGGCGTGCTATTTGTGGTTCGTCTCAGTTTTTGACGTAGATCACGATTCGGGTATTATTTTTGATATGCGGCAAAAAATAAAGAAACAAGACACTATTAACACTTTTTGACCAAAACGCCCATAGGACACCAGTATTAAATTTGAACCCCCTGGTTCGAACGCAAGGTATTCCGCTCGGATAAAAAGTGGCTAGTTTTACAATCTGTCAAGACAACTTTTCCGCACTATTATAATTCTCAAATCGAAAATCGACAAAGTTCGACCTTGAACTTAGCTGTCACCCGCCCTTAGGATTGTGGGACCTGAACTAATCAATCATGCCAACTATAAGACCAATACTGATATATTCATAAATATCATGAAATGGTTGATTTCTATCTTTTTCTACCTTTGAAAAAGTTTGCAGTATACATTTAAAAGTAAAACAAAATTTCCAAATAATTGCGGAAAAGGTCATGAATTGATCTGATTGAATGAGAAGTCCTTTCCACCAGACTATTAAACTCGCATTGCAAAGAGAAGTTAAACTTCATCTGAAATATTAACAACTGATAATAGAAAAGAATGAAAAGGAATGATACATGACTGGAACTTTTTATAGGAAAATAATAAGACCATACATCTTCCTAGGCCTGCAGCGCTGACACCCGAGTCGGGCAAAAGGCAGAGTCGTAGATAGGCCTTCGGCTCTAAAGGACACAACTTTCACCCCCAGGACTTTACTTTGACGAGTTGCCCCACCAGAGTCCATCAAATATCTGAGAAACACCACTTATATAAAAAGGGGTCATTTTCAAATGGAAATCGCCCTTTGGCGACTAAACGGTTAGAGATAGAGCCAAACGGACGAAATTGTGGTCCTGCGGGTTCTACTCTGACAAGTTACCCCTTTTAAAGAGGTAAAAAAAAGATTTTATTAAAGTAATACTTTAGGTGTTTTGGTTTTGATTTTTTTGTCAGGTCACTTTTTAAGGTGGAGGGCTCACAATCAATACAGTTCGCGACAGTTTATACGACAAAGTTACACTAAAAATTTCAGGTACCTAGCTTAAACCGTTCTCGAGTTATCGTGATTACAGACAGACAGACACGAAACTTTTTGATCATCACTGGAGTAGAGGCTTCGCTATCGCTCAGCCAACAAACTTCTTCTTCGCCATTACCTGGGCTCTGCGCTCCAGCTGAGCCTCGTGTTCTACTTGAAGTTGGAGTGATCTGGCGGAGTGAGGTTTTGACTTCATAGTCCCCGAACGAGACTGCAACAAAAGGGGATAAATAAGTTCATAATTTTAAACAATCATCATGGTTAGGAGAGAGGGTAGGTGAAATTACAGATTTTGCCAACCTGGCCTCGGCTTACTTGGCGCTGGGCAAAGGGGGGGGGGGGGGCATCACAGCCAACTCATTTACGGCCTAGCGTTGCTCCGGGGCAAAATGCACGGCACGGCCTTCCCCTCCCCTTTACTACCGCGGTAGTATTGTTAGGGGTACACAAATCCGCCCAAGTGGTCGAGGGCAGACTGCAACAAATGAGACAAATAAGTTCATAATTTTTAAGAAGTATCAGAAAAGTCGCTAATAACAAAGTGCCAAGCCCATAATGAGAGAGAAAGTGTAGACCTTCTGTGTTCCACAATAATGATAAATGAAAGGGGGAAGCAAGTACATTTTTTGGGCCTTACACACTGTAAACTAGCTACATGTATGCCAGACCACGTCTCGCGTAACAGGCTTCGCGATATCTCACGAAACACTGTTACGCTGCGACGCGCGGCCGCACACAGAGGTAGGCCTGTGGCGCTGACACCCGAGGCTAGTTAATTGGGGGCTAAAGGAGAACAGGGCCTCCCGGCAACAAAATTTGACATACTAACAGCATTTAACGGAGGCTAATCACTCTAAATTTAGGGATAGGAAACTACTTCTGTTCGATGAAGGTTTTCATTATAAGTTCGAATTTTGACAGATTGTTATGTAAAAATCAACGTTTTAGTGACACTGGATAATCTAAGGACCCTGAAGCCCAAAAGAGGGTGTGGTGCGACCCCTTACGTGTGGTTTTAGTTTTACTTTCTTTACACTCGTGTGACATGATGCCTTTTTTTACGATTTAATAGCCCATTTTGTCGTTCTTTTCGCCAATAAATGCCCCATAGCACCGAAACGGTACAAGATAGAGCAAAACGGACGAAAATTTTGCCTGTAGGGCTCTATTTTAACGAGTTACCCCTTAAGAACCCATTTAAAATCTTTGATAAAAATACATTTTGCGACCTGTAGTTTTTGATTTTTTTAAAAGCCAATTTTTGAGCTAGAATGCTCATCTTCGAACTCGATCTTTTTACGATAAAAAACCACCCCGAAATTCCTTCTCGAGTTATCGTGCGGACAGACACACAAACAAAGACATTGAAACTTTTTCGGTCAGTGGAGTAATGGGCTTCGCTAATCGCTCAGCCGACTCAGCCAACTCTCTGCATGTAATTCACCGAATATGTCGCTGAGGTCGCATTCTTCGCCATCGCTGTTGTTATGAACTTCAGAACCCTCACTAAAACAATCGGGATCAATATCAAAGAACCACATCCGCCTCTTTTTACTAGGCGAACTCTTAAGGGGGCAGACCTGTAAAATACAAGGGTTTGGGGAAAAATTTATTTTTAAAAAAACGGGGTGACTCAGAGGTTTAGTACTGCGCGTATATATAAAGTAAAGATGGCCCCACAATTTGGCCACTGAGCGGTGCCGACCCCACCACAAACATGGCCAGCATGGCCTTGAACTGGAGCCGATGTAGGTCTTTGCGGTGTGCACGATGTCGATTGTGCCTCAACCGTTGGGTTTGCAACAGTGAAAAAAATTGCTCAATTCTCTTAAAACATGTATCTATGTTCTGACAGGATGCACTGTTAAAAAAATTGCTGTAAATTTACAGCGAAAATGTGATTAATTTTGTTAGCAGCATATACTGTATTTTTATAGGCCTTACTGTAAAAAAGCAGCGTTAATGAAAATGTCGGAAACAAAGTTTCCGACCAAAAGCAGTTACTTTGTTTTGCTCCTGTTAAAAATAAAAATTGTAATAATACGAGTGTTCTGTTTTGGAACAAAATGTGATGCTAACAAAATTAACTTCTCTTTTCTTGTAAATGTACAGCAAAGTAATACGTAGTAGTTTTTGTTGTGGGCCACTATGGGCCGAATATCACAAGTTTCGAGAGTGTTCAAATGAAAACAACATTTCTGTTACATTACAGGAGTGTCAATCAGGCAGTAAGTCGTTGGGTGTTGGGTGACAGTTATTTTTAGCAGTGTGGTTTTTCGAAATTCCACTCCGAAATACTTGAAAAAAATTCCCAAAAAATGAGTACCAAAAAATGGGTTAAAATTTGGGCAATTTTTCCCTGGTTTGGGAACCTTGCAATTGAGTTATAAGAAATCGCCCTTGTCAGATCCTGGGCACATACATGGAAAACATTCGAGCCAAATATTAAGTTGATAGCTCCAAAACTACGTCCTGGAGGTTGCACACCGTTTACAAAAAGTCATTCCGAGAAAAACGAGTTTACAGTTTTCAGTACTATACAGGCCAAGATAGATGACATTTCAGTCAAATTCAAGAAAAATGAATATGTGAACCCTTTGATTTCTCCAAGAGTAGGCCACATAGAAAAAATTCAAGGCCACCGCTAGATTCAGCATGAAATTAACTTAAAAATGAGCTATTTAACATAATTTTAGGAGGGGCTTGAAAGACGTACAATCGCGTACAATTACTCGGAATAATCTACTCTCTGTTTATCCTTCGACTTTTAAAAGGTGTCTTTAAAAATGTCGTTACTGAGAGATGTGGCGTAGTTAGCGACTCAGCAGTAATGTTATTACTAATTATTAATGGTAGGTGTTGTTGAAGCCAGTCATGCTCTTCGTGTTTTGATGAGCTTAATAAGCTCATCTGGTGTTTGGATTTCTTTTCAGTTACTGGTCAAAACAAGACAGCTCTGTTCATACAGATGCAGCTGCAGAATCAGCAAAATCGCCTCTCCAATTTATGATTTAATGATTTTTGTGTCCAGTGGAGGCTTGCCCGTTAAGTTTCATTCTCACAAAGTGAAAATCTGTTCCCGTGTTCAAAGTAGAAATATCTACATCTGTCTGTATTTTTTTAAATATTTGAATCTCATTAATTATTGTAACAACAAAAGAACTAGTAAGATATACTGTCTAAGTTATACCTAATCCATTTTATTGTCCAGGCGAAGCTAGTCCCGTGAATCTCAAATACACAAACTGCACTTTTGGCTCCGCGATCGAAGTAGAGATATGTACATTGCTCTACAATTTCCTAAGAATTTGTACTACAAAAATGATTCTTACTATAAAAGAAGCAGAACATTGCCCTCTTTATTCTATGTTCAGTTCATTCTTCTGTCCAGTGAAAGCTAGTTCTCTCAGTGTGCCAACTATGTACATTGGCAGTTGATGTAAATGAAAGTTATGATTTAGCAGACACAATTTATTGAACACAGGAGTGACTCAATCCAAAATATCAGAGATCT